GTAAGTCCCACCTGCAGCAGGAATGAGGGAGCAGGCCCCACTGCGCAGCAGCGAAGACTCACGTGTCGTCTCCAGGCACCGCTGGCCGGACACCCTCCCTTTCTTCATCTGTCTCCGCGCTGCTCATCGACTAGTCGCTACTAGTGATTTTAAAACTGGATGATGCCCCAGGCCCCCAAGAAGACACTGATACCCCATTAGATACCTAAAAATCATTCTTTCATCAATATACCTCTTACATTAATATTTTCAATATTCTTAGCAATAACCAACATACTATTTCATATTAATTCAGTATTAATGCACTGGATTCCGTATGGCAGTTTTTAGAAATATGCTAAATACTCTGGAAAAAACTCACTGAAACCAGAGAGGAACTGCGACTACCCATCTCCTTGGTCTCCGTGCCGCAGACGTGGACATGGTGTCACGGAGGGGACACCCCGAAGGGACACTTCCTGGGCTCCGGGAGTCCGTTCTGAGGAGCACAAAGCAGAGTTGAACGTGAGCAAATACTAAGCTCTTATTACTCACTGGATCTCCACTTCCACGTTTCACTGACTGAGATCTTCAGGTATTTAAAACTCGTGTGTAGAGTTTTCTCTTGACCTCAAACTTGAGACTGACCCAAAACAATCCATTTTCTCTTCATTTTTATTTATTTATTTGTTTGTTTGTTTGTTTATTTGTCTTTAGAGGGGAGGGAGAGAAACATCAATGTATGGTTGCCTTTCATGCATCCCCTGCTGGGAACTGGCCTGCAGGGAACCAGCCTGCAACCCAGGCATGTGCCCTGACTGGGAATCGAACCTCAATCCTCTGGTTTACAGGCCCGCACTCAATCCACTGAGCTACACCAGCCAGGGCTCTCTTCATTATTTTTTTAATTGAATGGGTTGACACTGGTTAATAAGATTATACAGGTTTCAAGTGCACAATTCTATAACATGTCATCTGTCTATGACACTGTGTGCCCAAGACCCAAAGTCCAATCACCCTCCGTCACCATATATTTGACCTCCTTTCCCTCTACTACCCACCCCCCTCCTCTGTGAACCGCCACACTGGTGTCTGTGTGTCTGAGTTGTTGTTTTTCTTCCTTCTTCATTTGTTACTGTCAGTTTCATATCCCACATGAGTGAAATCCTGATTCCTGACTTTTTCTGACTCAGTTTGCCTGGCATAACACTTGCAAGGCAAGTCTGTGTGGCTCCTAGCCACGCAGATAACACCCCTGGTCAGTGTGTTTCTTAATGCACTCGGTGTTTTCAACTTTTTATATGATTTCTTTACTTGTCATGTATGATCAAGTTGTGCACAATGTTTTGCCCTTTTTTCTTTATTATTCATATTTCTTTAATGGTTTGAAATACCCATTAATAATAATAAATGTGAAATCTATGAAGCCAAAATAAAAACACACTCATTGTATTTTCTTAACACCTGTCAAAGGCATCGCGTGGGGTGTTAGAGTTCGACACACAGTATTCAAACTGCTCCACGGCCATCACTGGGCCGTTAGAAGTCTGCTTTTTCTGCACTTGCTTCTGTGTTTGTAAGGATTACCTCATTAAGTCAGTGGTAACAAAAAAATAGAAATGGAACTCAAAAACGTAACACTTGCATATCCTGAAGTTCTCTCTGTGGACACATTGCCAGCGTGGGTTGCATGTCTTCCATCAACCGGTCTCGACGTTACGCCAATTAACCACGGCAGTGCTGTGTATTGTATTTATTATTGCCTAGTAGATGCCTTTTTATAATATTTATTATTTTTAATAATACCGCAGGTAGCCTTGAACAAGGACGCAAACCAAAACTAGACCTTCGACTTTTACTCACGTCAGTCTCTGGTACGAAGGCCACACGGCGGTTTTGATCGCGGAAGGGGACGAAATGACCTTGATCACCGCTTCTGAAGAGGGCCAAGCGGAGGAGCTGCCAAAAATGCTGAGAGTCCCTCCATTTATTCATAGTTGTTACCATTCACCTGTATAGTCATTAAGGCATTAATTTGTGGTTATTACTTTTAACTTCATAAAATAACCATCAAACCTGCAACTGTCTAAGACAATAATTGATGATTACATTTCATTGTTTTTACAATGAAAAGGGTCAAGTGGACACTTGTCCCACTCAGTATTCTTTTAATGCACGTTAATGCTCTTTTACCTTGCTATATATTAATTAATCAAGGGATAATGCTTCACGCTCTCCACCTTCCTTCACTTATACATTTATTTTTTACACGTTGTTAAGTATGACTAACTCGTGAATCCAAGACCGACACAGACGTGTGCGCCCGACCCCCGTCTGCAGGACCCCTGGACACGCGGGGAATGACGCGGGGCCTTCAGTGTGGACAGCAGAGTTCCAGGCGCATCAGAGCCACTGTCCTCCGGTCATTGCCACGGACCCCTGACTGCCCCTCCCTCCATCTTTCCAGTCTCGTAAACATTTATTAATTAATTTTTAAAAATCAGTAAAATCATTTCCACACAGAATATGCTGATTTCTGCATTCTATTTACAGATTAGCAGTAAAGTGCTTCTAATAAACTGGATATTTTACAATGGACTATTTCCACCTTCTCTGGTCACATCTAATCACTTTTGGAAAACCCAGTGCACATCCGTAAACAAACCACTCAAGCTGAGACAATGACTTTGACCATTACTCACATGGTGTCCACCCTCCTGCAACGCAGACGGAAACGGAGAGCCCAGGACCGTGGGGAAATGTCACGTTCAGCTGGAGGGCGTCCATCCCAAGGAGGACAGGACAGCGCAGATGATGACAACAGAGACTTCCTTCCACTGACCCTCAGGTTACATCCTTCGAGGAGGATGCAGGCATGTCACTGAAGTCTCTTCACCTCATTGTCTTTCGTGAAAACAAAGTGCTTTGAACTTCCCTCCGCCCCAGAACATAAACACTGTCTATAACTGACCCTGGCCACACAGCACCTTTCAACAGTCACGTTCCGTTTACTTCCCTTCAGACTTCACATTTTCAAATTATAGCCATAGGATTTACCGCCACCCACACACGCTTGGAGTTGCACAAGGCAACGACCATTCGGCTTTATTTTTATAGATTTCTTCACTGATCAGTTGCTGACCCAACTCTCCACAGGCATGAAAACGCACACTGAGGACCTCACCGTTTGTGTCGAACCCCCGACACGCAGCGGTCATCCTCTGTGCCTCAGACGATGGCCATCATCACCACTGACCCAGAAGACCGCTTCGCCTTCATTCATTTCCGCATGGCTTAGTAATTAGTTCATTAATTCACTAATGAAAAATGTAAAACTCTATGACCCCCCCAAAGCTCAACAAGACCTTAACATCCCTACTATGTATCAAGAAACGTTCCCGCATCATTATCTCCATCCTTATACTGTTTTTAAATGTGTTTTACTCAATATAATGCCCCCTATGAATCCCATAGAACTTCCTGAGACGCAACACCAGAACCAAGGCAAGAACTTTCACTGTCACTCACTGCGGCCAACTCCAAGGCCCCTGATCAGGGCGGAGTCCTTCGGTGAGGTCCGGTGTCCATCCTGAGAGGCATAAAGCAAGTGATAAAAATAGCTGACACATCCTCACCGTTGCCCCCTGCTTTTCTCATTTTGTTTAGCCAGCAGTCTGAGCAACCATTAATGGGACAAGTGTTTTTTTCCTTAAGGAAAAGAGCAACGTCAATGCTGTGAACTGGCCCAGAACCTGAACCCTGTCTGTGACTTACCCTGTTTGTCATCCTTATACAGGGGACAGTCATGGACTATTGATTTCTAATAGAACATCAGGGTTTTCATAATGGATCAATAGTATTTCTTGCACAATCACATAATTTTATAATTAGACAATGCTCCATTGCACTCATCGTTATTCATTGATAGATTTATAGATTCTCACACATTTATCCAATTATAATAATAGAACGCAACGGCAATGAAGACTAAGACCAAAGCCAAGATCCTTGTGCATTCCAGACATCTGTCCACGGGATCTCTTTACCCAATGGCGTGAGCTCTGTGCTCACGTGTGGGAGCCCAGAGTTGGACACGTCCTCACTGTGCATGTCTCACACACCACCAGTGGTCATCATCGGTCCAGTGTTGTCTCTTTTCCTTCAGTCACTTCTATAGGTCTATTGATTAAATCATTACTTTACTAACAATGATTTCTAAACACTGATTAAAAAAACCCTAGAAGAGTCTTTATATCTCTATTCTGTACATAGAGTAGAGACACTCTGTACATAGAGTGTTCTGGTGTTTTGTCTCAGGAAGTTCCCTGTATTAATAAAAAGTGTGAAATATTCTCACATCAATGTCTCTCTTTCATTAATTATCAGTTTCCACTGGATTAAATCAATACAATATTTCATATATCCCGTGCTTATCACTGAGAGGCAGTGGCCATCTTTAATTATATTGCAGACTTCCTAATAATACAGTAAGTTATCTTCTTAAAAACCATGGAAATCAAGAAAATGATTTTTCCTGTTACTCACATTAACATCTGTCTTCTCACGGAGGCAGCCATCCAGCTCCTGACCATGGACGAGGCTGAAGTCACCCAGACTCGGCCAATCTGAGGAGTACAGGACAAAACAGATAGTACCAAAGGTTTGGACGGCACGCCATTGGTCACTGCGTCTCGCCTGTCCTGCATTTACTCATGTACGTAATCGGTGTATTACGATCCCCGTGTATTTTCTCCTAAGTGAGTCAATGATGTTGACCTGACAGACAGGAACACCAGCTACTACTTATCAATATCGCCACCAGTTTGGGTCCCAGAGTCATGACCTTGTGCCACATCACCCCTTGTCAATGTCAGGGCTCGGCACATACATTGATACTAGCCCTTGCCTGGCCACCTATTTTTATAATCAGACAATATTTCACCACCTTCATCTTTATTTCATATTTTTTCATTGATTATTTCATTGATCCAACTATAAAAATAGACTAGTTTTCTTTTATATTGGACCTCAGAGTTCCAGATACGTAGTCACAGTCTACGACTCATACGCCACCCTTGGTCATCATTGATCCAATACTGCTTTTCCTTCAATCATTTCTACACTGTTTATTGACTAATTCATTAATTTACTAATAGTAATTTTAAATGCTATTATTCACAGCACTCAAGAAGGTAATGATATTCTCCATCTGCATATAGACTCATTTTCACATCAATAATTATTATATTAAATTTCATGTATGTAATAATTAATAGAATGTCTCATTAACTCAATAGTTGAAACTGGGCTATCGTTCACAAATCTGGACTCCATACGGCACTTCTTAAAAATATGCCCTGGCTGGAGTGGCTCAGTGCATTGAGCACAGGCCTGTGAAGCAAAGGGTCACTGGTTTGATTCCCAGTCAGGGCACAGGCCTGAGTTGCAGGCCAGGTCCCCAGTAGGGGACACGTGGGAGGCAACCACACATTGATGTTTCTCTCCCACTCTTTCTCCTTCCCATCCCCTCTCTCTAAGAATAAATAAATAAAATATTTTTAAAAAATAAGTATCCTTAGAAAACAAGGTTGAAACCAAGACAAGCGTTTGGACTCCTACTCACATAGGTCTCGGTGCCGGCAACACCAAGGGGCAGTCGGAGGGCGTGCCACCAGTGGGGGCGGGGCATCCTGACTCCGCTGACCTCTGCCTTCCCCCTTCTGCCGACTCATGCAGGTGCGTACGGATCATTCACGACGCCAGTGCATTTTCCTCTTCGCCTGATGACGACCCTGGACAAGCGAACAGCTCTTCCTGATCTGCGCTGACACGAGCCCGGGGTGACACCTGGGTCTCTGATCCCATCACAGGCACCAGCATTTTCAACATTATTAACACTCCCTGCCTCACCATGTATGTTCATAGGTGGATAGTACCTATTTCGCCTTTACCTATTAATTGGTTTTCACCTGTCTTTACTGATTCTACTACTGATCCGTTATAACAAATCTAAGCCCACAAACTCAAAATAAGGACGTGATCTTTGCATCTTTCTAACATCTGTCTGCGGGAGAGAACACAGCAGAGAGAAGACTACTATCGCGATGGGCCTCGGGTATCCAGACACCTGTCATTCACTGTCTGTGACGTACCCGCCACCAGTTGTCACCACTGGTGCATTGAAGGTCCTGTTTTTCTTCACTTGTTTCTCCAGTTGTTATCAACAAGATCATTAATTCACTAAGAACAATAAAATAAACCTATGATTCCAAAACACTAAGGAATAAGGCATTTGAACATGCCTAACTTCTGCTGTAGAATCTTCACCAGCCTACATTAGATGTCTTTCATCAATCATCCTCAACGCTACATACTAAGTTAATCAACAGAATATTTTTATATCATATTTATTGCTGGGCTATAGTTAACTTTTTTTATTATTTGTTACTTTTTAATGATACCATGAATATGTTATCATTAAACAAGTGGCCCAACCCAGAACAAAATATGACTCTGACTCGCCTTGGTTCCCTTCCCGAAACAAAGAGAACGTGACATTCAGCCTTGACTGCGACAGAGCGCCGTCGGCTGAGCACCTGCTCCGCAGAGACCCGCACTGAGGGGGAGGGGGCGACCCTGTCTCCGCTGACCCATACACACATTCTACCGCCACTGCACAGCCATTCAGGCACTGATGCACTTGTGAAAATATTTATGTATATTTATCTTAAAAATACACTTACACCTTGCATCTGAATCAGGCAAACACTGACGACAACATTCCATTATCTCTATCGACCTTCGCCGCTGATGTGGTCCGCTTGGTCCTCTTAGACCCACTCTGAAGGATATGAATACACATTACCTCGCTGAGTATTTCCCAAAGAAAAATACTTCAACCTCTTCATCGTTATTCATTTGTACACTTGTTTATTTACTCTACCACGAATACTTTTATCAATTAATTTTTAAAATTCATGGGCAACAAGACTAGGAACAAAATCCTTCAATTTCCTAGCATCTGTATAGAGGTCCCCTTTAACGTGCAGAAGTGGACGAGATGACCTTCGTGGTGGCTCCCCGGGGTCCAGAGATGGTAACCATCGTACACAACTCGTGTGCAAACAGTGACCATTGTTAATCCACGAACTCACTAACTGTAATTTTAAAACTACATGATTTGCAAAAGGCCGAGAAAGGCACTGATATCCTCAATATGTACATAGAATCATTCATTATCTTGCTTTTCATTAGTAATTTAATCAGTGCTATTCTTTCCATTAAACCGTATTTGTCCCTAGGACCCAGTTCAGCTCCCTTAATGACATTTCCTATTTTTAGCTAAAACAGTGATTACCCACAGACACACCAACGGAACAAGATAAGAACCTGACTGCTACTCACACTGGTCTCCCAGATCCCAGAACTGAAATGTCACCCCAGGGCTCTCGGTCAAGACAGAATCCTGAAAGCAGGTGGAATTTTTCCATTCTGGGGAGGATAAAGCAGAGAAGATGATAAAAATAGTTGAGACATTCCCACCATTGACCTTTGCTTTTTATCTCTCACTTATTCAGCCCCTGGGCAATCATGAAATAATTTTCCCCTTAACAAAGAGAGTAATGGTGGTCCTGCAAACTGACCCAGAATCTGAACATTGTCTGAGACTCACGTCACCCTTGCAGAAGTCACAGTCATGTGCCACTGCCTTCTAATCACACTCCAGGGTGTTCATAATAAGTCCCCAGTATTTCTTGCAAAATCACATATTTTTACAATTGGACAATGCTACACTCCTTTATATATCTAGTCATTCATTCATTCTCACATTCATCCAGTTGCAGACACCACCGATATCTGACCCAATGTCACTTCCTTCATTCATCTCTAATTGTTTATTTGCTAATTCATTACTTCACAAATAATTTTCACAAGCCTGTCATTCACAAAAACTCCAGAAGCACTTGTACGTCCCTGATGTGCACAGAGGTTATCTCACATCAGTGTATCTCTTTCGTTAATTATCCTCAGGTTTCGATGCGTGAATGAGTCACTGTAACAACTCTTCTACCCCATTACCCATCACTGAGAAACGCTGCCTCCTTCCATTGTATGTTGTGCTTTCTAATAATTCGGTGACTGACTTTAAAAAAACACTTAGCCCCAGAAAGTAACGTTTCCTGTCACTCACATTAATCTCCACCCTCTACACAGAGAGGCAGCCACAAAGCTCGAGCCCCCGGGGAACGCGCTTCCATCAGCCCGAACGCAGCCATCCTGAGTGGGGGAGCCACACAGGGGATGGAAAAAGAATGAGATTACATTCGTAACTCCCTGAGTTCCAACTCCCAGTGAGCCAATCATTACCAAGCTGTGAACTGAAGTAATGTGTATTTTATTTTCTCTAAGTAAACAAACAATATCGACCCAGCCACCGAGAGAGTATAAACATTCACTATTACTTACCAATAGCTATAGCATCCTTCATCAAAAACTGACACCCTTGCATTTTAAATGTGCATGAATCCTACCCCTTGCCTCACCACCTATTTTTTTAAGTGGACAATATTTCACCCCTTCATCTTTATTGATTGATTGATTGATTGGATTGATCCAATTGTAAAAATAGAAACAAAGCGCATGAACATGAAGAAGAAAAACCAGACCTTTGTGCATTCCTGCCCTCTGTGTGCAGAACCACCTCAAACAGGACGGCGGCCACGCCGCGCCTCTGTTGGACCTCAGAGTTGGACATGTAGTCATTGTGCGTGACTCAGACGCCACCAGTGGTCATCACTGATCCAGCATTGACCCTGCTTCTTCATTCATTTCTACATTATCCATTGACTAGCTCAAAAACTCACTAAGAATTTGAAAACCCTGTGCTTCACAAAAACCCATACATGAATCAATATAACGCACATAAACTTCCATATTTGCCAATGAACTGCAGTTGGCCTACGACTCTACAGGAAACTTTTGAGTAACAAACGGAACACTGCAAAAGGAAGGTCCCTGAAATCAAGACGAGAACTTGGACCGTTACTCACATCGGTCCGTGCGCCCCTCACAGATGCGCCATCTGAGCCTCCAAAACAGGACGCACTTTATGGCTCCATTCTGAAAGCGCAAAGCACAGGCAGGCATGGAAAACCAATGAATCACATTTTTACTCCCACGGAGTCTCCATTTCCACAACTTCTTTACTCAGTCATTTAGAATGTTTATAAATTTTTCATAACGAACATTATTTTTTCTTTTAGCCAAAAGGCAACCTCAAAGTTGAGACTGACCCAGAACAACAAAATTAACTCTTAATTATTCATGTCCTCTGACTCCGTCCACAGAGGTGCTGCCCCTGATCCATTTATTTCTTAATGGGTATCAGTGTTCACAATTTTTATTACTATTTCTTACCTCCTCATGTGTGTTTATAGTTAGATAATGCACTCTTTCTTCTGCAACTATGATTTATATATTTTTACTAATGTTATTGTTGATCCATTAATAAAAATCTATCTAAATCCATTAACCCAAAGTAAGAACATGATTTTTATGCGTCCTTAACATCTGTAAGTTGGATCGAATAAGCAGAGAAAGTACAGCCTGGTTGGTGTTGGGCCTCAGATCCCAGACATACATTATTATTCCTCCCCCGAGACTCAGAGGTCGTTATCACGGTTCCTTAAAGGCTCACTTTTAGTTCATCCATTTGCATATTCGTGTCAATTAAATCATTACTTCAGCACACTTGTAAAATAATACATGATTAACAAACACCAAAGAACAACACATCTGAATATCTTTCACTACCTTCTATGGAATCATGCTGAAATAGATGATCTCAAATTCTTATCAATGTTACCTATTTTTATTTGTTTGTTTTCAAATCATAGTCTCCACCCTACTCTAAACAGTTTCACCGTCTCTGAAACACTATGATTGCTGGGCTTGCCAGCTTTAAGACTTTACACAAGCACAGTAATGCCGTGGGCCTCCCTCTGCTTCCTTCTCTGTTTGCTCAACCTGGTGAACGAGACACATGGGTGTGTGTTTGTGGACATACAGTTTTCTTACTGGGTTTTTCAATTTG